CTAAGACCAATTTGTCATGGGAGACCCTACCAGGGGCACTAAGTGCCCCAGACAACATAGCTCCTAGGATCATTAGGGCACTCAAACTCCTCCACCACGATAAGGTGACGGTTCAAGGTCCCAATTTTACGCTTCTGGAAAATGTAACCTAGCGGAAAAATGTAAATGATGAAACCCCGGGATCGAGCCCTGGGGCACACCATCAGAAACAGGGAAAGGACTGGATTTATTTAAGTTCAGTTGAACAAATTGTGTACGACCAGAGAGATAAGAGGTGTAGCAAGCAAGAGGCGTGTTTGTGATAGATGACAGTTCTGCTGAGATAAGTGGTATGGGAGATGGTGTCGAACACTGCTGTTTGATCAAGAAGGACGAGGATAGACAATAAACCAGAGTCAGAAGCAGTGAGAAGGTCAATGGTGATTTTGAGAAGTGCTGTTTCAATGCTGTGAAGAGGACAGAATCCAAACTGAAACTAGATGTTATTGGTGATGAGGTTTTTGAAAAATTGAGAGGCTATAGACTTTTTGAGAACTTTGGAGATGAAGGGTAGATTGGAAATAGAAAAAGAACCAAAGAAGAAACATATATAGCGCCTCTCAAAATAAAATCACGAGGTGCTTCAATTAGGATGTAGGTTACTGAAGTTAGTGGAGTCTAAGCCAGGTTTATTTTCAGAAGAGGTGTAAGCATTGCAGTTTTGAAAGCAGGAAGGACAATTCCAGAGTTTAGAGAGCGTTGAATGATATCAGTGATGAGAGGAGCAAGAGAAGAGAGACAGGTTTTAACAAGAGCTGTAGGAAGCGGATCAAGTTGCCAGGTGGAGGGTTGGGATCTAACGATATGTTCAGTAATGTCTTGGACAGATGGGAGGACAAAGCTGGAAAATGTGGTTTTGGGAAGTGGTGAGGGGACAGTGATGTCCTCTACAGTCTGAAGCACCCTGAGAAATTAGGCGTCGGTGCGTAAGCGATCTGCATTTTATTCTGCTTTTTTTTTTCCACAGCATCATAAAATTTACTAAACTTACTTTAGAATCAAAGTTTTATAAAATAACATTCCAAAATATGTCAACATCTGTCAGTTTTTCTTCTTCTGACCCCTGCCGGTGAAGGTTCTAAGTCATCCAGGTCAGTCGATTCAGATGAAGCCAACAGGATTTCTTTGGTTTCTCAAAGACATTTTGGTTCTAATCCAAAGAGATTAGTCCACTCAAATGTGAATATTCAGTTTCTAACATGGTGGCATTAGAATATTCTGTGTTTATACTGTAGTGAACTGTTGGTGCTTAATGAGTTAAAATTACTGGTGAACCACCCTCCTCCCATACCCATTAATGTTACCCATGGGCCCTATTACATTTCTAACCCTTACAAGCAATACAGCAGCAGTCATCAGAGTTTGAGAAGAAAGGAAATTCATGGACAGAATGTGTAATAATTCAATTTTTTGCTACAATATTGAGCATTTGTTGTATTTATTTGCTGTTTAAAATATTTTTCAATGTTACAAATATTTTAGAAATTCCTAAAAAGCCTCAAAGTGCCAAACAAAGGGAAACATCACAAGTCTTAAGGCAGATGGGAATGCCATATGTTGTGGACTCATTCTAGGAAGACTTGAATTATATTAGGGCACAATACACAATGTGGCTCACGACTATTTTATAAACACTAATAATTTTCTAAATCATTAGTTTCTAAACGTAGAACAGCAGGAATATGAGCTCATTTGTGGATAGGAATCCGAAAGAAACCCAAACAAAGTGTAGACTCTGCTAAAGTAAGTAAGTAAGTAAGTAAGTAAAAGTTTATTTATATAGCGCCTTTCACAGATATAAATCACAAAGCGCTGTATAACATGATAAAGATCAGGGCAAATACCTCTAACCAATAAAAACATCAGAAAAACAATAGCAGTGATAAACGTAGAAAATAAAATCATGAGTATAAACAAAGTGAAGGTGTGAACCCGAACAAAGCCATCTTTTTGAAACATTTAGGGAGGGAACGCCTGGATGAAAAGGTGAGCTTTTAGATGATTTTTAAAGACCTCTACAGTGTTAGAAAGACGGAGATTTGAAGGTAGACTGTTCCAAAGTCTGGGTGCAATAGTCTGAAAGGCCCTGTCCCCTTTGGTTTTCAGTCTGGTTCGAGGAACAGCCAGGAGGTTTTCAGATGTGGATCTAAGGTTCCGAGAGGTGGTGTGTGGGGATAAAAGCTCAGATAGGTAGCTTGGAGCCTGGTTGTTAAGAGCTCTATAGGTCAGGACTAAAACTTTAAACTGTATTCTATATTCTACCGGGAGCCAGTGGAGGGACTGTAAAACTGGAGTGATGTGAGCTCGTCTGCTGGATTTGGTTAGGAGTCTGGCTGCTGCATTTTGGATGGCTTGAAGGCGTGAGAGGGAGGTTTTGCTGAGACCAGTAAAAAGAGCGTTACAGTAGTCTAAGTGTGATGACACAAAGGCATGGATGATTTTTTCCAGATCTGCAGTAGAAACCAGTTTACGGACTTTTGAAATGTTTCTCAGTTGAAAGAAACAAGAGCGGGAGATGGGTTTGACGTGTGAGTCTAAACTTAAAGCTGGATCAAAAATAACTCCTAGGTTTCTAATGTTGGCCTTGGCTGATGGGCAAAAAGAGGCAATTTCTTGCTCGATTTTTGGCTGAAGTTCCGGGGGTGCAGCGATCAGGGTCTCTGTCTTGTTAGCATTTAAGACAATAAAGTTGCTGGACAGCCAGTTACTGATCTGGGTCAGGCAGAGTACAAGTGTGGCCAGCCTGTCCAACTGGTGTGGCATAAAGGACATATAGAGCTGAATATCATCAGCGTAGATGTGGTAGGAGATGTCTGGGAAAGACTGAATGATGCCAGCTAGGGGAAGAATATAGAATGCAAATAGTAGAGGCCCTAGAACTGAACCTTGTGGGACCCCGCATGTTAGAGAGGCAGTATCTGAAGAGAAGGTTTCGGACTTCACTGTGACTGTTCTGTTAGTGAGATAGGAAGAGAGCCAGTCTAGAGCAGAACCTGAAATCCCAGCCAGGGCCTTTAACCTGTTTAGTAGAACGTTGTGGTCTACAGTGTCAAAAGCTGCACTGAGGTCAAGCAGGACCATGACAGAGCATTTCCCTGCATCAGCAGCCATCAGGAGGTCATTATGCACCCTTACTAGAGCAGTCACAGTTGAGTGCTGCTTCAGAAAGCCAGATTGGAAGAGGTCAGAGATCTTTGACTTAGAAAACTAGGATCTGCGTTGGGTTTCAACAACCTTCTCAAGTACTTTGCTGATGAAAGGTAGCTTAGAAATGGGCCTAAAGTTACTGGTGGAGCTGGCGTCAAGGTTGGGTTTCTTTAAGAGAGGAGTCACTACTGCATTTTTAAAGTAAGATGGAACACAGCCTTGGCTCAGTGAGCTGTTGATTATAGTCAACAGAGATGGACTGATAGAAGCAAGGGACCCGACTAAAACAGAGGGAGTTAAGATATCTGAAGAGCATGATGAGAGTTTCATCCGAATGATGATTGAGGTTAAGTCATTTAGTGTAATTGGGGAGAAGGAGGTGAAAGACTCGGAGCACTGAGGGGCCTCCCCTCCTGAGGGGGCGAGGGCTGGTGGAATGCTGGATCTCAGATTCAGCACCTTGTTTGCAAAAAAGTGGATAAATCTGTTACAATCATCAGCTGAAGATAGCTGAGCCTGCTGCGGAGGAGAAGACAGGATGCTGGAGATGGTATCAAACAAAACCTTAGGATTATTCTTATTTTGACATATGAGGTTGCTGAAGAAAGAAGACCTGGCATTTTCTACAGCTTCGTTGTATGACTCGAGAAGTTCTTTAAAATATTCACGATGAACAACCAGACCTGTCCTCTTCCACCGTCGTTCCGCTTTTCTATAGGAGCGTCTAAGGTCAAGAATCTGGTTGTTCAGCTAGGGTGAACTAGAGGCACTGATACTGCGGCTGGTTTTGTAAGGGGCGACCTGATCTAGAATTTTGAGGCAGTGATCATTAAATGAGTTGGTAAGGAGCTCTACATCATCAGAGGAAGGAGGTACAAAGTCAAAGAGGGAGGAGAAATTTAAAATGGTAGAACTGTTGATAATACATCTTTGCTTAGCAGAGACTGGTAAAAGAGATTCAGAATTTAAGTTGATATGAAAAGAAACTGACTTATGGTCACTGAACACAACATCATTTATCTGCAGCTTATCAACAAGAAGTCTCGCCATCTGTAATCTGCTCCTTCCTACAAGTTTCTCTACAAATTAAAGAGCTAAAAATAAACAGAAAGTTTTCTTGTAGCTGTAAATTGGAGAGATATCAGCATTAATACATCAAAATTAATTGATTTATGTTTTCTAAAATTAAGCACATTTTACTTTGCATGCAACTGTCCCTGCAGAGCAGGCGGAAAAGTTTAGAAGCATTTGCTGCAATTTAATCGTACGGTTTAACAAGCAGACAAGTGAGGTCAGAGCTGTTTGTTTGACTCCCATAAACGAGGCTTGGGGAGAGCCGCAGAGAGCACGAACTCTCCTCTGGTGGGCTGAAAGAACCGTTAAAAGGGCAGAATCCATTAAAGTGGCAAACACACGCTCCTGACTGCAGACTGACTAAGGAGGTGCAAAGTCCTGCACTCACTGAAAATATAATACCAGGAAGAAAACGTTTTTAAAAATGAAATATCGGTTCAATTTTAACAGCAGCTTGGGTCAGAAACACAGGTCGTGTTAAAGGGAGTTTATCTACTGAGCTGAGTTCAAGTAAGAACTTATACATCAAGCCATTAATCCAATCTGTCCAATTCTAGCAGACAAAAAGAGAATAAAGGACATTACATCAATCTGATCTGAGATAAAACGCAAACCAAACACTTCAAACATGTGGATTGTTGCTTTTATAAGTCTTTAATGGACACTTTACACTTGCATAAGGAGATCATTCAGTACATTTATATCTTATTAGATTCAGAGTTGCTTATTGAATTCCTTACCTGAAAGGCCACTGATGACAGACAGGAGGAGAAATGGTTTCCATGGTGACCCCATACTTGTTAAAGAGGGTCCCTTCTGCTAGAACGTTAGCAGGTCAACGTCTTCATTAAAGCTGTGCCTGTAAAAAATGAAAAGTGAGTCAGAGTGAAAAAAATAGAATGAGCTGGCATGAGGATGTGCTTCTGCTCATCACGTGTGTTTGCTCTCCTCATTACTGAAAATGCTCATAAATCCAACAAGCAGGAGAGGTACACGAGAAGACTTCACAGTTTCACTGAAAAACATGAAATGAGTTGCATTTTAAGTATGTATATGTATATGTATATATATATATATATATATATATATATATATATATATATATATATATATATATATATATATACCGTAAATCCTCTAATACAGGCCGGTATTCAATTAAAGGCCGGGTCTCCAATTCTGGCCGGTGTCTGAGTCAGCGTAGGTAAATAATGGCCGGTCTCTTATTGTGGCCGGATGGCATGTGGTAACAAGCAAGTACGAGCGTCCCAGCGGCAGAGTTATAGTCCCCAAATCAAACAGCAGGAGGCAGTAGAAGTTCACGCAGACCTTTTTTAGGCCTTTTCTTCAACGCTTTGTAACGCTTCAGACACGATCCTCTATCACGCTCCTACCACACAGAGTCACGGTGTCAGTTAACCATGCTAATTCAACCCGCTCCACAGAACACACATCACCTTCCCTGTGGCTTACATAACACTCACACAACACGCAAATCAGCACATAGGAACTAGCAGAACGATAGGAAACACATATAACACAATACCCAGAATGCACCTGGCTTACAACCCCAGCCAGGTCATTACACTATCAAGTTCAAAGAGAACGTGCTGATTATGCTGCAGAACACTCTGGAGAGCAGCAGTAGGGGGTGTATGAACTACAGTAATCCCTCCGCGGTAGATGCGTTCCAGACCTGGCCGCGATAGGTGAAAATCCGCGAAGTAGGGACTCCCAGCATGCCCCTCGCGGGGATTCCCTTCACGTCACAAACCGCGGTTATAAACGGAAGTCGTCTTTCCAGCTCACCACTCAGTCATCGTTTCTTCAGATTCACGATCAGAGTTTCCAACCTACCGATCAATCCAACGAACTATCAGCTCATAGTAAGTTATCTTACTTACTTCTGGAAAGCCCGGCATTTCCGTGTCACTTCGTTGACGCTCGAACGCTCGGGGGTTTCCTAGAGCACCGACGCTATCACTTCCGCATCTGTGAAACCACGCTCCCTATTGAATTATCGTATGATCACATTCTCTTTTTGGGGGTAAAACTCAAGTGCCAGACCTTAGGTACTGACACGCGATCGTTCATGTCGGTTAATTTCCTTTAATGTTTTCTGTCTTTTATTTGCGCCTGATGTGTATCGCTGCTGTGGAGCGGGGCGCATCAACTTGTCCTCCGACGCACAGATCACAGCAGGGAGCGCTCAGCTGTTTTTGCGGTCGGTAGATCTGCCTCCTGAGCACGGCCACAGTAACAATCAGGTGTCGCCACCTCAAAAACTAATTTAACACGCAATCGTTCATGTCAGTTCATTTTCTTTAATGTTTTCTGTCTTTTATTTGCGCCTGATGTGTTTCGCTGCATGCTGTGGAGCGGGACGCTGCGCGCATCACCTTGTCCTCCGACGCACTGATCACTGATACAGCCGCCAAACAGCAAGCGCTCCGCTGTTTTTACGGTCGGTAGATCTTTTAGAACTGCAGTTCAAAGGTAACTCATGAGGTGAATATATATGAACCCAGGTAGCAGTTTTTCTTTAGGATTGAGAGGAGATGCAGGAAGATAATAAACAGACAGGACAGAAAAATAGTCAAATAAAAACAAGTTAGTTTTTGTACCTGCTGTTGCAACAAACAGACACCATTGAAGGTCATCAGAAGTGAGGAACAGAAAATGAAATAATTATTTTAATGTTTAGAGCAGCAGGAACTCCGAGAGGCTGCAGGCGCATCAGTGAGTTTGCGGCTGCTGCGCAGGGAGAGGGGGGAGATGGCTGAAGCAGGAACTACCGTTGTTAAAAGAAATGTGTTTAACTTTGAAAATGTGGGCGCACTTTTAATTGTCAAAAACTCCAGCAAACCATTAGTTCATTTTGCTCAAATAGAAATAGAGGCCTGCCTCTAATACTGGCCCTCCTTCCAATAAAGGCCTGGAGCTTGATGAGCTTGAGTCAAATACAGGCCCGGGCCTGTATTAGAGGATTTACGGTGTATATATATATATATATATATATATATATATATATATATATATATATATATATATATAATGTTGGTATCATTCTTCCATATTCCATCCATCCATCCATTTTCCTCCACTTAGAGGTCAGGTCGCATGGGGCATCAGCCTAGGGAGGCCCAGACTTCCCTCTCCCACTTGGGCCAGCTCCTCCAGGCGAATACCAAGAAATTCCCACACCAGCCTAGAGACATAGTCCCTCCAACGCATCCTGGGTCTTCCTTTAGGTCTCCTGCTGGTTGGATGTGCCCACAAAACCTCACTAGGGAGGCATCATAACCAGATGCCCGAGCCACCTCAACTGGCTCCTCTCGATGTGGAGGAGCATCAGATCGTCTGAGCTTCTCACCCTATCTCTAAGGGAGAGCCCAAAAACCCTGTGGAGAAGACCCACTTTGGCCACTTGTATCCGAGATCTCGTTCTTTGGGTCACCACCCAAAGCTCATGACCATAGATGATGACACAACAGACCAGTCTTACGCCCGCATTGCGGCAGATGCAGCACCAATCCACCTGCCTTTCCCTCTTTGGTGGAAAGGGCCCAGAGATACCTAAACTCCTCCTCTTGAGGCAGAACCTTGTCCCTGACTTGGAGAAGGCATTCTATCCTCAAGACCCTGGTCTGGAACTTGGAGGAGCTGATTCTCATCCTAGCTGTTTCACACTTGGCTGCAAACCGCTCCAGGGGCACCTGGAGATCATAGTCAGAAGAAGCTAACAAGACCACACTAGCCACGTTTACATGTGCCAAATTTCCCCAATGAGTTTCGGACTCATGTTTTATTACTGAGCTCTGTTGTGGTTTATTCTTAACAAAATGTGACAATCAGCTTCTTTAAACTCAAACCAGTTCTGTTTAACCGATGTTACCTTCTTTACATCCACCTGCTGCAGAAACAGCTGCTGCATTCAAAGTTGACAGAAACGGAGACTCGTGCTGCAAACCCCGCAATGAATCTTTGTATTTCCAGTAGCGACTTGAACACGTTTGTGCAATAACCAGAATTTTATTTTACATCCACAAAATGTAAGTTCTGGATTAGATATTACAGAAACGGGGATGGCTTGCCATCAAATTTAAAAGCCGGCGCTCCTAATTAAGCCGTCATGTATTTAAGTCAGGTAGTCCAAATGTTGGCTGGCTGTTGCACACATGCGCAGTGGGCATTACTTTACTCCAACAGTCTGAATGGCTGTGTACATGCACGTCAATCAGAATGATGATCGGACAAAACCACCTCTCTCAATCGAATTGAAATTTCATTCCGATAGAGCAGAATATTTCAATTCACATGTTTACATGCAGAAGTTTTGGTCTGATTGGGCATTCAATCCGATTAATTGTGCCCATGTAAACATGGCTAGTGTCTGCAAAAAGCAGAAACCTGGTCCTATTCCTTGTTGCTTATTTGTGGAATAATAATGTAGTTTTTTGTAATACTACTTCACAGTCGCTGTTTTTAGTTATATTCACAAACACTTTTTTGGAATGTCATTTATAAACATTGTCATTTAACCTAATTGGAAGGTGTGTATGACTCCTGGTCCTATGTAACTTGTGATGAGGAAAAAATACAATGTAGAAAACGGTGACTGGTGTTTAGTGCCATCACGTTTACTTGGGCAATGCAAGTTCCGGTATCAGGAGGACCGGGGATGATATCCGATGGGAGGGGTAAGGATTTCATGACCGTGTTTGTGTTTAAAGCTTGTTTTGCAGATTTGAAATTGTAGCTTTAATTTAGACACAATGCTAATTATATGGTTTTGTTTCTGTTGCCCGACGCCAGAGTAACCTGTGCAGATGTTATTGCCCTCAGTAACACTCATTTCCATACATTAAATCTCCACTCACTGCACAAGTATGTGCGTTCATTTGAACCCTCAATTTGCTCCTCACACACTTATCCCAGTGGCAGTGTTTCTCATCTCATCATCAAAGCAGTTTAAGCCACTTAAATCATGAATACAGTGGCACACAAAAGTCGCGAGGCTGACAGACGAACATCCACTTCCTGTCTGAGTCACTGAACTTTCATCATTTCTGCTGTGTCATCTTTGATTCATCTTATTTGCTACGTCACAATCCACCAGCAGTGCTGCATAAATGTGTCCCGATTGGCGAGTTAGCAAATATGTATGCAAATATTTTAATTTCTTTTTGCAATTTAGCTTCATTTTTCTATTTGCAGGTAAACGTGGTTAATTTATTATTTATAAAAGTAAAAATGAAATTCTGAAACTTCCTGTTGCTATACCTTAATTTTTATTCCCACTGCACACACAAATGTAAACAACTGAATAGCCGAAGGTCTGCTGTCTAGACAGCAGTCTGTCAGTGTTCTCCTTCTTTTGGAAGAGGTTCTCACATGTCTTCACCTCACCGTGACACCTCAAGCATATCACTAGCAAACAGAAGCAAAAAAAAGCTGTAATTATTTATCCAACAACAGGGGCAGAGGTATCTGTCACATCTCGTTTTAGAGTTTAAGGGTCAACTTTTCCTTAGGGCTGTAGAAAACTCTTACTTTGTATTTTTTGAATTAAAGTTTACTTTAGAGGCGGGGGTGTGGGTGCGTGACATCACGTTTCAAGGGGTCTATAGGCTGCTGTAATTTTTTAACATTTTTACAAGTATCATTTTGTTACTGATAAATATAGACTGGTCACTGATAAAGTATTAACATTAATTTAGCTTCTTCAAAATATATTTTTAGACTAGGCAATTTTTATTTATATAGCACATTTTATACGACATTGGAATGTGCTTTCCATGTGTATAAAAAACTGTGAAAACCATAAAACAGTAAATCTTAAAATCAACATGATCAAAA